AACCTGCTATGGTTTAAATCAGTTCCCAGACTTTTTCGAATGCGTGCGTAAGAGTTTGGTTGGCGGGGGGCTGCATATTGTAAAAAAAACTGTAGCTAGTTATATATTTATTTTTTTAAAATAGGTACCATTTAATATACATATCATTATGCAATTTTGTTTTGTCCACATTGTGTAAGGAACACAATGGGTAAGACTAATAAATAATCACCACATTTTTTAAATATTTTTATTTTTTTAATATAAACTTATTAATACAAAAAAAATTATTTATATGTAATACAATTCATAAATATTCTTTAGTTTTTAACATTTTAAACAAAATTTTCTTACTGGAGTGAGATATATGAAACTGCTTATATTTTGACGATATACTTCATATAAAAATGACAACCAATGACTATCAGTTATTAGTTCTGGATCTTAATTTTTACTTATTTAAGTGCAAAAATTATTATTTTTTGTCATTTATATAAATACTTCAAATTAACGAAGCCATTTGGTATGCGTGTTTCAATAATTTAGGATATTTTTACAAACTTGATTGACCAAGTTTCACAGTAGAAAAATAATATAAAATATATAAAAAATATATAGTTTATTATCACCTCAATAAATAATTTTACAAAAAGTTTAGCAACTCTTTAATTTATAAACATTTCATTGAAACTCGCCCAATTATATTTAGCTAAGAGCACGTCAAAATCTCCCAAAAACGTTTCGGTCAATTAATTATTACTTTTGATAATTTCCTCATATCTAGTTCGCTTTCTCGACAGCTTAGTCTCATGACTATCGAATTTTTTAGTTATTCCACTGGCCTTTTTCATTCTTGCCGACTCTTTCAATTTTCGTAGGTAATAAAGTGTATCTAGTTGATGACCTAACTTCCATTTCCATGTTTAAATTAATCAATATTTGACCAACCAATTATTGTTCGCGGGCCGCATGAAACGGTTTTGCAGGCCGCAAATGGCTCGTGGTCCGCACTTTGGTTTAAATGAAAAGGGGTGAATTAAACTATTACTATGTAGTTGACAAACTGACGGTAAAAAGGGTAAACCTCATCCCGAACAACCTTGTAACCTGACGTAACGTTGCTATGAATTGATTATTTCAACTTTTTATTGATTTTATAATTATTATAGGCCCTCATCTGACTGCAAAAAATAGCACATCTTGTTCTTTTTCTATTTATAGTTGTTTTCATGGCAGGGGGATACAAAAAATGTACTATGTCCCGGTGGTCGAAGTGGATATGTTATACCTGTGAAATTGGAAGAGAAGTTGTGCTGATCGATTGATTTTTTAGTTTTTTGCTGGCAATGAAATATATGCGACGTCAAGATCATTAAAAAATTGCTGTGCAAGCATTCTCTGTCGTTCGGTTTTGCTACTTCCGGTGTAGGGATTTTGGCAGGATATTTACGTTCTTCAACAAAATCCGGGTTATAGTCTAAAGCTTTTTTCTAAGATGACATTGCAAGCATTTTTTTATTTTTTTTTTTTTATTTTTAATTTTTAATTGCTCGCAAATTGTTTGTATATTATCTTTTAACTAAGACTATTGCCCTGCAAAACATTTTATTTGGTATATTTACCCCAACCAACCTTTTATTCGCCTAGAGTGTTCGATATAATTTATGGTGAGTGAGGTAGAACGACTCAGTATAAAATGCTGTGCATTGACCAATACTCTTAGTTGAGAGCTAAACAGAGAGTAACTAAACCACTTTTCAACTGTTGGTTCCGTTTTTGGACATATTTTAAGGTTGCAATATTTATTTCAAGTCATCCCTTTCGCCGACTGAAAAAAATGTTTGATATATTATCTTATAGTTAGAAAAACAACGCGTTTAAGCTATATTCCGAATTTCGTTGAAAAACGTAAATATCTGATCATATGGTAAAAACCCCTACACTATAAATAGCAGAACCGGAAGACAGAAAATGCTTGCGAAGGGATTTTTTTTATTGTTATTGACGTCTAGAAGCATATTATTTATTTCATTACAAGTAAAAAATAAAAAAACAAGCAACTTTACTGTCAGTATAATTTTACTAAATTCTGTAAACATTTTTGGTATCATAAAATACCCCTATCAGCATAACAATCAGTTAAATAAACTTTACCAGTGGCGTACGACATGGATAAGTAACACTTTCATCCCCTTTAAATTTTTCAATACTCTCCAAAAACTTATTTGGACTATATTTTTAAATTTTTTGATGTTTTGTATATAAGATATTTACTCCTGTTGGGAACTCATAAATGATTGATTTTCGAGATATTCACACTCAAATGTGGATATTCTTCATTTCAATATATTTTTAATTTGGGATTTTTTTTATAAATTTTTAACAAAACAAAAAACATGAAAAAATTCAAAATAATAGTCTAAATAAGTTTTTGAAGAGTAGCAAGAAATTTGGAAGGGATGAAGGTGTTACTTACTAACGCATGTTTTCTTTAATCGTCTTATTTTTAATCAGAGAATCTTGAGTTGTTCTGTGTCCTATTATTTACCTTGTATTACACAACTGGAAATATCAATCAGCGGGTAGAACAGTAACCCTATAAATATCTCTTTTTTTTTTTGTGAATATTATACAATTATGAACTTTACTCTAGTTATTTATTTATCATGTGCATCAAAATACTCGTATATTTAAAACCCAAAGCATGTAAACACCTTTACCGAAAGCAGATGTAACTTATTGATACGGGTTTTGAAAGTACCGGGTAATTAAAAAAAAAACAATCGTGTAGAAGTATAGATGCTATAATTATACGGTTATAGAGGGTAATTTTTTACAAGGACCAACGTTGAATATAGAATTATTTATAAGTATATGGCTAAGTTATACAGAATGATTTTTTAACAAGGAATATAGATTATGAATATAGATTTGTCATAAGAATATCTGTAAAGTCGAACACTTTTATTGACGTTCCTACTAAAACTGAACTGTCTATCAGACATTGGGCAATCAAACTTGAAAACTACATAGCTGAATTGCTGATGAAATAAATGAGGTACAACAATTTAACAGGGTTAAGAATCCTAAGGGGTGGTCTGTCTGTATGTCAAAGATATCACCTCCTCAATAATAATTATTTTTATTTGGAAATTTTTAATAACAGTTCCATATTTTGATATATTCAAAGTAGGCTCATTTTAAAATATCACCCGGTATTGATAATTATGAAACAACAGACTATTTTTCAAAAGGCTAGAAGCATTAAAAAATTGTAGGGTTTTAGGTGCTCGATATTCAGATTTTTAAATTTCATTATTAATACTAGAGCAATCAGCACTTTTTTAACTTAAAAGTTTTTATTTCAACGTGCTTGTATCCTTTAATCACTGTTATATTTTATATCTTATTTGTACTAGATTTTGTGTATTGTTTTTTTTTTAGTTTTAAATTTAAAAAAATATATACGATGTTTTATTTGTCAAAAAGGAGTATATTCATATCAATTTCAGTTTTTTTAATGATTGATTTTATAATAAAACAAGAATTTTGGATTAGTATTTACTCACCCATACATTTTTTAATTTCAATTGGAGAGTGAATAAAATAAATAATGTTTTGGGTATCGAGTGAGGAAAATATTTTTTTTTTGTAACAAGATTCATTTTAATTTAATTTAAATACTGAAGAAATAAGTAGTTGGGTTATTTCTCAAAATTTTGATAGCCAGATAGATTTGAACTAAAATGCCATTTTGTACTGTTATAAAGAGAAATAAAGCAAATTTTGCTGTTAAATGTTGAAACTAGAACCACTGTGTATCAAGTATTACATAATATTTTTGGCAATTTTTTTTTAAATACCCAATTAAAAACATTTTTAACACGTTGGCTACCAAGCCAAATTTCAGGATCCTATTCTGTGGTACCTTATGAGTCACCGGTGATACGTTCGATTGGGGTCCCTTCTGTACCGTGTGTATTACTTGGGATATTATTGGAATATTATTGCAATCAGTTTTTAGAATTTTTGATTTGAATTTAAAAGAATTAAAACTAAAAACCGATAATGGAAAGAAACTAGTAACGTTGGCATCACTAATAATATACATAAGTCGTAAAAATCGAGGTTTAGTTTGATATGAATTAAATATAGCTACTGTTGTATTTATACATTTATTTTGATAAAAAATAAATAAACACTGTAAAAACATTTGGGACACATAGTAAGAGGTTAAAATTTAAATCAAAACTACTTGGCACACAACAAGAGACTTCGAAGTTGCTTTAATGGTTCATATATGATACATATAAGTGCCAACGTATTAAACAAAAAAAAAACACTTCAGCAGATAAGTATATTATATCCTAACTAGTCTTTTAGAAATTTTAATGAGCCAAAAACTTGTTAGGTTAAGAAAATGCGAAGAAAATCAAACTTGTCTAAATTATTTTAAATGTGTGAGTAGAAAACTGCAAATGAAACATTTAATTTAATGTATTCCTTAAATTTTGAGGAATAACCTAATTTAATGTAATTTTTTTTTAAATATGTCAAATTTGACAGGTATAGCCAGTCGACCGAAAAAAGTGGTCAACGTTATTTTTTTTTGTTATCTTTGAAACAAAAACTCTAACTTTGTGTAAACTATATAAAAAATTTCAATTCGATGCGAACTTTAAACGATGACACTAATTAGGATAAAACTGGAAAGTTTAAGATTATAAAATTATTTAAAATTTAGGTTTTTCGCAAATTTAATATAGAAGACTGCATTTTAAATAGGAGCCAATTTGTCTAGTAAAAACAAATTATGGTTTTCAAATATTCCAAAAATATTTATTTACTTTTAGGGTTGTTGGTATATACGTTGCATCAATTTAATGATAAAATTATTTGGATATATTAAAAACAATAATTTGTTGATTCTAATGTTTTTCCACTTAATTTTTTTCTTGACATTTACAGTAGATACTTTCTAAATAAATAATATACTGTTTTACTTATTAAATTGCACTCACCTAACTTAACTATCCATTAGAAAAGTAATCCACATAGTAGGCACAATTTATAAACATAATCACATCAACCAATCAAATGTCATTTTGTCAAAAATGTCACTTATCCACCAAAATACCAAAAAAACAACCAAGTCCACAATTAAAAATCCAATAAAATTGTCAGTACAGTTCCAAGGAGATAAAGTTCACAAAATAACACGCAAATTTTGGTCAAAATAAAAAAAAATCCTAGCGATTTTCTCGTATAATTCGCTTTTGAAAATTCCGTTTAACCGCCGAGATGCGATGCATTCGTTGCGCCAAGTGTGCAGCGTATTAAACACCTGTTGAGACTAAGGCGAACGAGGCGCACGAGCACCTTCTGGTCAGGTGAATGGATGGATGCATACGGGGAGGCGTACTAGTAAAACTGGGCGAGCAGAGAAATTTCAGAGGAGAAGCTCAACTACACTGGCTAGTAGCCCAGTATAACCAACAATCATTAATGACACTGTGATGTGGCTCCTTTGATCTTCAAAAGTGGAAATTTCTGATGACACTTGAGATTTACATAATATAAAACATTTTCCTTACAATGATTTAATAATATTAATAAGTTTTAAAACATATCTGAACAACAGAAAGCAATCTTTTCAAGTAAATGGAGTTATAAGTGAACCGTCCATGGTAACTTATAGTGTTCCATAAAGCACTGTGCTTGTTCCAATGCTGTTGTCCATGTACATAAATGGATTTTTAAACTATAAATCTGAAGAATTGAGTGAAAATATATGTGGAAGAAATAAGAGTTGAAATACATACGAGCAACATAAAATCATGTTTTGATCAAATTCGTATTGACAATGATCTATCTCATAAGGGTCTCTTTAGAAGAATAAAGATATAGGAAATTAAACTGTTTATTAGTAGCAGATAACAGGCAGCAGTCAGCGGCTTAGTGCAAACAGTGTTACCATTGGGTGAAAAATTCTCCACTTTCTGGAGAAATTGAGAAGGGTCGGTTAATTTGGCGAATAATAACATTTTGCGCAGAATATCAATTTTTCCTTTTATAGGAAAAAAAAACCACTAGAGGATCTCGCGAGTTTTCGGAGAATTTGGTTATGTTAGCAGAGAATCGCGAAGAAGCTTGTGACAACACTGAGTGTAAACAACGTACTGACATTAGATTCAGTTTAAAAGAAATATTTCTGTTTAAAATATTGTCTTTATTGTTATTTGTTAATAAAGTTTTCAACAAACTGACTAAATTCGTCTTATATTAATATAGTTTTAGACAATACCAAATAAATCCAGTGGTTTTAAGCAAAACCGAATAAATCCATTTTTGTTTGTTATAATTTCAACAAAAATATTTTGTTTTAATAATAATTACATAGAATGTATTATTACTGATGTCTTCAATAGTATTTTCTACAAAATGAAACAAACAAAAAAAACAGCATAATTGGAAAATCGTGTTTTTCTAAAAAAATTTTTTATGGTGGATTTATTCGGTTTTGTTCCAAAGCTCCTTATTTTTTTAAATACCTTGGATAGTGTACAGAAAAATGATTATAGTATATTCCAATTAATTGTTTGTTTGTGGCAGAGTTTAGAGTAATAACACTCATAATAACACTGTTTTCATAGAGAAGGAAAGATAGAGTTTCTGGAGCAGTAGTTAAAAATTTTGGGTTTATTAGAAAATTTAGGTTATGACTTAAAAACCTTCATTAAACATTTACACTAGGTATAACTAATTTTTTACTTAAATTTCTTACTAACTTTGTAATTGCCTAAATGGGGGTAGCCGAAGGCAAAAATATAGTATTGTATTTGATAACATGAGTGCAGTCGCTCAACACCGAAAATTCATCTAGAATTATCGAGCGCCTAGCTCAATGTATACTCGAATACTCGAGTTTGACAGTTGAATCGCCGAGTGGGTAGGTGGAATGTGTGAATATAACATTTTTTCCATAGAAAAACATTTGAATTAGACGATAAAAAAATGTCAATTGTACTTGATCCACACCCCTCTAGATTGGATTGAATAACAAATAGGTATCTACAGGAATGATTAATGACATAAAAGTTGATTATGCAATAATTTATTTTGTGGACGCTTTTAGCGAAAGCAGATGCAGTTGGTTGACGCGCGTTTGAAAGATTTGGGTGTCTCTTCTTATGTATTTCTTCAGTCAGCAGATTCGTACCAAAATATGAAGAATAAGATTTTCGGGCATGCTTAAATTATAACTCAAGCTTACTGTTCATACGTACGACATCCAACGACACGATATTCAGAAAATGTTTCTATTGGCTGACTATTTAAGAAAATATAGTAAGCTTTATTCATAGGAGTTGAAATTTGTCAATTTTTTTATTACTACGCATAATACTAATTCCATTATTAAGTTTAAATTACCAAGTATAAATAATTATTTTTTAGATATATATTGCTTGCTGATGAGTTCTCATGAGGACAAAACCGGTGCAGGTATAATATTATTTACTTAGGCAAAATCAAAGTTAGAGTGTTGAAATTAAATTTCAATCTCTGCTATCTTTCCTCTGGATATAGCTCAACTCCTGATGCGGTATTCGCCAAGGGAGTAGTTGTTTTCCGCTCGTTTTATTTTGTGACACATGGTTCAGAAAATTTCTTGTTTTCATTTATTTTAGTTATTAAATACCCTTCCGATTTAATTATAAGATAAACAATTGTGGTACATGATGCACTTTTAGTAGCAATAATATATTTTTTTAATTTCCTATCTTATTTAGATTGTTTGTCACACTTCATGTACCCAGAAACAATTCTACCAATTATTAATAATCATACCGTTCCACATGAAGGGCATCTGACGCAGAACTTTGATGTACGAGTTCGTCATAATAAAACAATATTAAAACAATAATAGGACAGTGGCGTAACATTAATTACTTTTTTAATTGAAATATATTTAAGGTCGATCTTTTCACCTATGAGTAAAGTTACACGTAGGGTTACTTTGTCGATTGTTAGCGAGCTGTACCCTATAGCCTAATCAGCAAGTAGTTACTTTCAACTTTACTCAGAAGTGTAAATATATTAACGAAATTTTGCAGAATGAAAATTTAGTAAATAGAAAATGGGTATGATATCTAATTCGGAAAATAAATGCAATGATTATAAGCTGATTAAATATACCAACAAATAATCTTAGTGTAAAATTAGAAATAGAGTAATAGAAAAAATATTAAATATTCATTTGCTCTATTTTGTATTTGTCGATAAATAAGTCTGTCCAATATTACGAGTAGTTGGAACAAAAAAAATGTTGATTTCGTCAGGAATTAATTTTTTTTTCAATATATGTAAATAAAAGCTAAAATAATCCTAATATTTTGATAGGTGTTCTTTTGAAGCCAAATATGTTCATTCTAATAGATGAAAAATGTTGAATTGAGCCACTATTGGTGAGAGCAATCAATTAAAATTAAATTGCTCTAGGCCGCACAGGTTAGGTAAATTAGTTAATTTTTTTTCATTTTTTTGTAATTTTTTGCAAGACAAACCGCGACGGCTCCAGGTCACACAGGTTAGGTAAATTAATTAAATTTTTTATAGAAAAAAAAATCTAAACTAACTAACCTAAAATTACCCATGGGAGGCAACTCCGACCTTATTGAAATACATATTTTGTGCGAATTAATCACAGTTCTTTAATCTCAATGAAGATAAATAACCGTTTAGCTCTAAAATATTAATTTTTAAATTAACAGTATTGTAAGGATAAAAATTTGTTCAACGAAATAGCTATCGTTTGAGATTATCGAAAAATTTGCCATTAGTACCTAATTTTGATAGCTGCTGAGTTTAGTTTCTCCAGTAGTAGGAATTGGACGGACGGTTGCATGGTATAATTTGATTTTTTGATATTTTACTACTTTTAATGTTGATTTTCGATATATTGTTCTTTCGTTCTAATGAATTTTCGATCTATTGTCTCTTCGATAAAATGTTATTCGATAAAATATATTTTCCATCAATTGTTATTTGATCAAATGTATTTTCGATCAAATACCATTCGATAAAATGTATTTTCGATCAAATTTCCAATTCGATCAAATGTTTTTCGATCAATTTTGTGCCCCCCGAAATAAATATTTAACGTGGTGATGTTCTTACCCCGAAAACGATCTTACCCCAACCTCAATTATATATTTATTGTTTAAATTTCATATATTAGGTACATATTAAGTTGTATTTAGAAAAATACTCATAGAATCCAATTTTACCAGTACGAATTTGAAACGAACTATACATTATCAAATGTTGAGAGACTTTGACGGTGGTATTTTTTTTGTATTTCAGCTATTTTTGTTCGATTGAAATATCTACTTTGACCGAAAAAGATTTGCGGAATCGTGAATTACTTTCTAAGTGACAGTATTTTGATTATAGTAGTTGAGTATATTAACTACACGAAATGAGCGAATAAAAATATTCTCATATCCGCATTGGTGATTTTTTTTTTATTTTTTTTTTTTTATAAATTAACATTTTTATTATACAAAGTGGGTGTCTATTTAAAATAAAAAAATTGATATCCACTTCCCATGGGCGTCGTTTGGAGGGGGCAAGGGGGGGAGGTTGCCCCTCCCTGGCTTTTAGGACTTAATCAACAACGTGTAATATATGAATTACTGAAATTTTGTTAGGTAGGTACTATAGGTTCTTTAAACCTGTTACATCCCAAAAACATAAAAAATAATACTTTTATTTACTACCTATCAGAAAATGAAAATAGTGGACAAATTTGGAATCGACAATTTTGAAGCTGAATGCCAAACGTGGATAGCTAACTGGACTACGAAAGAACTTCCTTCACACAGTGAGCTCTCCGTTAATGGCATAGCTGAACATAGCTGCGATCTACAATGAATAAAAATAGGCGACTAAGCTAGGGCTGCCACCTTTTGGAAAAGTGAATAAAGGACATTTCAAAGAAACCTTAGATAGACCGGCCTTATGAATGCGCTAGCGCAGGGTATCACGGTGAACGACTTAAAATGTACCGCCAGCAGTTTTTTTCACTTTTTAATAACTTATTATTGAACAATAATATCTTAACTAGGTAGTTATATCATAATTGCATAAAAAAAAAACATAAACATAAGTAAAAAATATT